CCATTTGGACTTAAGTTTTGTGCATGGCAATAGACATGGATCGATCCGCATTCTTCGACAAGCCAGCATCCATTTGTTAAAGATGCTTTTTTCCATTGTATATTTTTAGCTTCTTTGTCAAAGATCAGATGTTCATACATGTATGGGTTAATATCAGGGTGTTCAATTCAATTCCAGTTGTCTACCTGTCTATTTTTGTGCCAATACCAAGCTGTTTTCAGGACTACAGCTCAATAATAGAGCTTGAGGTCAGGGATGGTGATGCCTCCAGATGTTGCATTGTTGAATACAGTTGTTTTGCCTATCCTGGGTCTTTTGTTTTTCCATACAAAATTGATTATTGTTCTTTCAAGGTCTGTGAAGAATTGTGCTGGGATTATGACGGGGATTGCAATGAATCTGTAGATTGCTTTTGGCAGGATTGCCATTTTTACTGCATTGATCCTACCTATCCAAGAGTATGGAAGATCTTTCCATTTCTTGGTGTCTTCTTTAATTTCTTTCTTTAATGCCTCAAAGTTCTTGTGATACAGGTCTTTCACTTGTTTAGTTAGCATTACCCCCAGGTATTTTATGGTCTTTGTGGCAATTGTAAAGGGTGATGTTTCTCTGATTTCATTCTCAGCCCTTTTATCATCTGTATATAGTAGGGCTATTGATTTTCTTGAGTTGATTTTGTATCTTGCCATATTGCTGAAGGTGTTAATCAGCTGTAAGTGGTCCCCGGTAGAGTTCTTTGGGTCATTTATGTAAACTATCATATCATCTGCAAATAGTGAAAGTTTTACGTCTTCCTTTCCAATTTGTACCCCCTTGATGTCCTTTTGTTGTCATATTGCTCTAGCTAGAACTTCAAGTACAATATTGAAGAAATATGGAGAGAGTGGACAGCCTTGTCTTGTTCCTGATTTTAGAGGAATTGCGTTGAGTTTCTCTCCATTTAGTTTGAGGTTAGCTGTTGGTTTACTATATATTGCTTTTATTATATTCAGGTATGTTCCTGTTATCCCTGATCCCTCTAGGACCTTTATCATGAAGGGGTGCTGGATTTTGTCAAAGGCTTTTTCAGCATCTAGTGAGATGATCATGTGGTTTTTCTTTCACAGTTTGTTTATATGGTAGACACATTGATATATTTTCTAATGTTGAACCATCCCTGCATTCCTGGGATGAAGCCTACTTGATCATGGTGGATGATTTTTCTGATATGTTCTTGAATCCGGTTTGCTAGTATTTTATTATTTTTGCATCAATGTTCATGAGGGATATTGGTCTGAAGTTCACTTTCTTAGTTGTGTCTTTGTGTGGCTTGGATATCAAGGTAATTGTAGCCTCGTAGAAAGATTTTGGCAGTGAGCCTCCTGCTTCTATTTTGTGGAATACTTTGAGGAGTATTGGAATTACCTCTTCTTGAATTTCTGGTAGAATTCTGCACTGAAACCATCTGGGCCTGGGCTTTTTTTGTTTGGGAGACTTTTGATGACTGCTTCTATTTCATTAATGGTTATAGGTCTGTTTAGATTGTTTATCTGTTCTTGATTTAGTTTTGGCAAGTGACATCTATCCAGGAAATTGTCCATTTCCTTTAAATTTTCAAATTTTGTGGAGTACAGATTTTCAAAGTATGCCCAGTTGATTCTCTGGATTTCCTCAGAGTCCATTGTTATGTCCCCTTCTTCATTTCTGATTTTGTTAATTAGTATGTGCTCTCTCTGTCTTTTGGTTAGTTTGGACATAGGTTTGTCTATTTTGTTGATTTTCTCAAAGAACCAACTCTTTGTTTCATTGATTCTTCTCAATGTTTTATTGGTTTCTACTTGATTGATTTCAGCCCTCAATTTGATTATTTCCTGGCATCTGCTCCTCCTGGGTGAGTTTGCTTCTTTTTGTTCTAGAACATTCAGCTGTGCTATTAATTCTCTAGTGTGACTGTTCTCCAGTTTCTTCATGTGGGCACATAGTGCTATGAACTTTCTTCTCAGCACTGCTTTCAAAGTGTCCCATAGGTTTGCATATGTTGTGTCTTCATTCTCATTGGATTCCAGGAAGTCTTTAATTTCTTTTTTATTTCTTCCTTTCCCCAGGGATGGTGCAATTGTGCATTGTTCAATTTCCATGAGTTTGTAGGGTTTCTGCGACTTGTGTTATTGCTGAATTCTAATTTTAATGCATGGTGATCTGATAAGATGCAGGGGGTATTCCATTTTTTTTTGTATCTGTGGAGATTTGCTATGTTTCCTATTATGTGGTCAATTTAAGAGAAGGTTCCATGTGGCGCCGAGAAGAAGGTATATCCCTTTGTGTTTGGGTGGAATGTTCTATAGATGTCTGCTAAACCCAGTTGGGTCATAACTTCTATTAGTTCTTTTGTTTCTTTGTTAAGTTTCTGTCTGGAGGTCCTATCTAGCAGTGAGAGCGGAGTGTTGAAGTCTCCTACTATTAGTGTGTGAGATTTTATGTGCAATTTGAGCTTTAGTAGTGTTTCTTTCACAAATGTATGTGCCTTTGTATTTGGGGCATAGATGTTTAAAATTGAGACTTCATCTTGGTGGACTTTTTCTTTGATGAATATGAAATGTCTTTCTTCATCTCTTTTGATTGATTTTAATTTGAATTCTAGTTTGTTAGATACTAGGATTGCTACACCCGCTTGTTTCTTGGGGCCGTTTGATTGGAAAATCTTTCCCCAACCCTTTACTCTGACATACCATCTGTCTTTAATATTGAGATGTGTTTCTTGTATGCAGCAGAAGGATGGGTTCTGTCTTTGTATCCATTCTGCTAGTCTGTGTCTTTTTATAGGCAAGTTGAGGCTATTGACATTGAGGGATATTAATGACCATTGATTGATGATTCTTGTTTGTGCTTGATTTATTGGTAGTGAAGTTATTTTGTGTAATTTCTCCTCCCTTTTTCTTTTGGTGTTTTGTAAAGTGGGATTATATATTGCCTGTGTCTTTGTGAGTGTAGTTATCTTCCTTGGATCTAGGTTTTCCTTCTAGCACTTTCTGTAGAACTGGATTCATGGACACGTATTGTTTAAATCTTGCTTTGTCATGGAATATTTTGTTTTCTCCATCTATGGTAATTGAAAGTTTTGCTGGATATAGTAGTCTGGGCTGGCATTTTGTTCCCTTAGCGTTTGTAGGACATCTGTTCAGGATCTTCTGGCTTTCATCGTTTTCCATTGAGAAGTCAGGTGTATTTCAGATAGCTCTGCCTTTATATGTTACTTGGCCTTTTTCTTTAGCTGCTCTTAATATTTTCTCTTTATTCTGTAGGTTTGATGTTTTGATTATTATATGGCGAGGTGACTTCTTTTTCTGGTCCAGCCTATTTGGTGTTATGTAAAATTCTTGTATTTTCATAGGCATATCCTTCTTTAGGTTAGGGAAGTTTTCTTCTATGATTTTGTTGAATATGTTTTCTGTACCTTTGAGCTGTATTTCTTCACCTTCTTCTATATCTATCGTTCTCAGGTTTGGCTTCTTCATGGTGTCCCATATTCCCTGGATATTTTGTGTTAGGGATTTATTGGTTTTGAGATTTTCTTTGGTTGACGACTGTATATCCTCTAATGAGTCTTCCACACCTGAGATTCCTTTTCTATCTCTTGTATTCTATTGGAGATACTTGCATCTGTAGTTCCTGATCGTTTACCCCGCTTTTCCATTTCCAGCTTCCCCTTGTTCTGTGTTTTCTTTATTGTTTCTATTTCAGCTTTCAATCCTTCAACTGTTTGAGTTGTTTCCTTCATTTGTTTGGTTGTTTTTTCTTGGTACTCTTTAGATTCTTTGAGAGATTTGTTTATTTCTTGAATTTTTCCCCCATTTCATGGATTTTTTTGTTTGTTTTTTCCTCTATTTCTTTAAGTGATTTCCTTGTTTCTTCTTTGAGGTTCTGTATCATCTTCATAAAATGATTTTTAAAGTCTGTGTCCTCTGCTTCATCTGTGTGGTGCTTTTCAGGTCTTGCTGGCATTGGTTCATTAGATTCTGTTGGTCTTTTGATTGCTGAATGAGCCGTTATTCAGTCTTCTTCCCATCTCTTCTTCCAGTGGGTGCTGGTGGGGTCTTTCTGTCTCCACCCGTCTCCTTCCTTCCTGAAGCTGAAGCTGGCATCGCTGGAGTTTGGGGCCTGGAAGGGCTGATGTCTTTCTTGTGTGGGTGCGTCTTCTGGCTGGGGTCCCAGGAGTTTGGGGCCTGACTGGGGTCGCTGGAGTTTGGGGCCTGGAAGTGCTGATGTCTTTCCTGTATGGGCAGGTCTTCTGACTGGGATTGCAGGAGTTTGGGGCCTGGAAAGGCTGTTGTCTTTCCTGTGTGGGTGGGTCTTCTGGATGCCAGGAGTGGGGCCAGAAGATGCAGGGGATGGGTGTCAGGCGGAGGATGGGGAGTGTCCTCCTGGAGACCCAAGCTCACCTAGCTGGGATCACTGGAGTTTGGGGCCTGGAAGGGCTGATGTCTTTTCTGTGTGGGTGGGTCTTCTGGATGCCAGGAAAATTCTAATTGTTTTTAATAATAAAAACCCAGAGTCAGATATAGGGTTTAATCCTTTCCCTACGAATCCTCAGACCGAATGTGTGATCCTGTCTCTAGGCATCCGCAGACTGAATGGTGTCTCTGTGAAAGCTCAGACTGAATGCATGAGCTCTTGTCTCCTCCTACCTTATGTTCCCCTCTCTCTGCCCAGTCATATCCGTTGCTGTCTACACCTCTCTGGTGTTGGGATTAAGGGTGTGTAGTTCCCAAGTACTAGGACTAAAAGTGTGAACCACTACCACTTGGCTCTATTTCTCTTTTAGCCTGGATCAATTTGTGTAGCCCAGAATGGCCTTGAACTAATAGAGATGTGTCTTCTTCCATCTCCTGAGTATTTAGTGTGGCTAGCTTCATACTCTGATCCTCAGGTAAGTTTTATTTGTTAAAGTACAAACAAAATATCACCACATAGAGCTTTTTAAAAGAATACCATTTAATGAATGAAATTTTACATTAGTCTTGATCACAATGTTATAAATCACTTGCTCTGTTTATGCGCGTTTTGAAAAGGAGTATTTGCCTCTTGTTTGTGAACATTGTGAAGAGATTGTCTGGAAGCATTTGTTGCTTGTATAGAGTGAGATGGAACAGGAATTGAGACTCTTTTGACTCCTGGGGTGAAGAAAAGGTATTATTGAATACGAAAATAGCCAACAGTCCTCCTTGCTGGGATTATGCATTATTTAGTAGACTAGACTACTAATGATACACCACCATATACAAGAAGGTATTATTTATACAAGGTAAGGCAGAACCTTCAAAGATAGAATGACTCCATGGCTTTTTAAATCCCTCTTCCTATTAAATTCCACTGACCCACCATTGCTCGAAGACTCCCAAATCTTCAGGGGCTAGTTATTCAAAGAGTGAAGAGCAGAGTGACACAAACAGGAAGCAAATGGGGTTGTGAGAGTTTAAGGAGATCAGAATATAGACAATTTAGGATGTGAAATATAAGCAATAAAGTAAAAAAATTAGGTTTAGCATGGCCAAGAATAGAAGGAGTAGAGAAACAGGACTTTGATTCATTTGGTTTTGTGCACAGTAGATTTTTGGGACTTGATAACCACCCAGGTTGTGAAATCCTAGTATTCTTGGTGTGTGTGTGTGTGTGTGTGTGTGTGTGTGTGTGTGTGTGTGTGTGTGTGTGTAATATGCTTGGGAATCTTTTGTAAGAACTTGCAGAGGCTTATCTAACCTGTAGTCCAGCCCTTGGGAGATAGAAGACAGGCTGCATTTATGTTGTTTCTGAAGTAAATAGAGCAGTAGAGGTCAGGTACTTTCTTGGGAGAATTTTTCTCATCAAAGCTCCTAAACCACAGGGTAATATGTGAGGAATATGTACAGACAGGTAGAGGAAAGACCCTAACTTCATTATGCTTTACAAATCCCCATAGGGCCTGTTCACCTAGCCACTGTTCAGTCAGTCAGAAATGCAAGACTGACATTAATTCCACTGCGTTTTTAGTTTCTTGTAGCAAAAAAGCACAAACTTTATAGTCATGAAAAACTACAAAACTAGTTATTTAATTGAAAACACACGAATATTGTTCATTCTCTTACCTAGCTATGATGTCTTTGGTGTTTCTTTATCATACTGTATGGTGAAACATTAAAAGGGAAAACACATTATTGATTAAGCTTCTAAAAGGACTTGTTAACCTACTTTACAGTAATCTAACACAGTGCTATCCCCTTAATCTCCACCTCTTTCCTTAGCACTGTTCTCAATTCTAATACGTAATACTAGAGTTCTGGTGTCTCACAGAGGTACCTACACCTAACTAGTTCAAAACAAAGCCTTATGTATATAAGTACCGCATCTTTCCAAAGTTGCTTCTCTTGTATATTTTATATTTTGGCTAAACACACAGCCAGTACTCAGTGCCAAAAACTCAAGAGCTGTTTACTTTGTTTCAGAGGACGCTAATCCAATGCAATCTAGTGTTTATTGTTCACATGTCTTGAAACTAAAATTGGCAATTTCTGAACTTCAAGAAATACAGCTACTAGAATAGACAAATACAACCCAATACCATGAGTTCTGATAAGGAGGTAAGCTCAAGAATTATGAGAGGGAGCAGTTATGAAAACCTACACATAAACTGTTACCATCATCACCTTCTCCATCTAGCTCAGGAATCACTCATTTATTCAGTGGTTAACTTCTGAAATTAACTCTGAGATCCCTTGAATCTGTGACCTCTAGTTCAACCTCATTACCACTGTCTTAGTTTGGGCCCTTGCACTGTTTTCATTTTTCAGTCTTAGTGGCTGAACACAGGTCCTTTTACATATTAAGCAAACACTCTGCTACTGAACTATATTGCCAGTACCTGTATTCTACCTTTTTATCTCCACTGTCCCAGAAAACTTGGAACTAACTTTCCATTAATCTCTTTTCTCTATCATCCTTTCCACAAACTGCAGCTAGATTATCATTTTAGAATCAAAATAATTCTTTTTTTCCTTCCACATTCCAACTAAAAAGTTTCAATGTCTCAGTTACTGAGAGGATAAATTTTTACTTCAGCAAGGCTCTGGCTTCAATCTACTTCCAGGCTTATCTCCATCACCTTGGCTCATGCTCCCATATGTTCACCCAGTCTGCAATATTGTCTCAGTGTATCATTACATCTATCAACATGGAAAATCCCTACTTATATTTCAAGGTTTAAATCAACTAAACCTTCCTTTGGTAAAGTCCTTTTAGACCTCTCAAGGCAAGACCTAGTCTCTATATCTTCTGTAATCCCATTGACTTTGGTACAAATAAAATCTTTTGCTATATTGTAAGTTTTTTGTTTATGCATGCTTTACACCTAGGTGATAACTATGTTTCATCTTGCCATCCTAACATAACCTTTCCTTCCTTCTTGTTTAGCCCAGGACAGGGCACACAGTAGACTCTCAGTAAATGTTAGCTATTGTCTTTGTCATTATCATCATGGTCATGATCATCACCATCATCCAATATTTAAGTTCATTTCTGCTCAAGTACATGGTCCACTAAGCATGAAGCTGACTTAGCATATAGAGGGTAAGAACTGCCTAGGACTCCATATTCTCTGAGTAGACAGTATCAAGTTAAGGAATGGGACTATCATATACAAACAAAAAACTAAATACATTAGCCATCAATGCAAAACACATGTGACACAACTTTCTACCTTTTGCTCTCTTGTATTTTGTAAGTCCCTCTGTTGAAGTGAAGTTGTTGATGTCTTAATAAAAACCTTGATATTACTTTGAGAATATTGGCTTGATCCTAAAGCAGATCAAAAGAAAATTATATACCTTTGAATGTTCATTGAATTATAATTGAAGAAGAATAAACTGCATATAATTAATATGTGCAATTTCTTCAGTTTTGATATATTAAACTTATGAAACAATCATCAAAACTAACCAGTGTTTCCATTACAACAAAAAGTTTTCTTATGCTGCTGTAATTCATATCTCTCTCTACCCATGTCCTCGGGCAACCTGATCCTACCCTCATTATAAGTTATTTTCCATATCTGAAGTTTATATAAGAGAATGAGAGAATATGCTTGCTAGTTTAATTTAGCACTATCATTTGAAATTCATCGAGATTTATTCCTGTGTTGATAGTTTATTCCGTTTTATTACTGAATAGTAGACTATTTTATATATGTCCCCAAATTTATCTACCTACTTGTTACAGGGCATTTTGATTGTTTCCAGTTAAGGACTATTATAAATAATGCTGTTATGAACACTGGCATATAAGTCTTCATATTAATAGACAGTTTGATTCTTTGGAAGTATATACTTAGAGTGGGATGGCTGGATCATGTGATAGATGTACATTAATTTAACTCGCCAAACTGTTTTCCATGTTAGCTGTGCCATTTTATATTTTCACTAGCAGTGTAAGGGAACTTGAGTTGTTCCAGTAATTGTTTCAACTCATTTAATGGTATTATATATATGATATTTCTATGTGTTCATGTGCTGTGGAACATGTACAGGAGTCAGAGGACAGATTTATGTATCTCTTCTTCTCTTTCCACCTTAATGTGGGTTCTTGGGCTAGAACTTGGGTCATCAAGCTTTCACATTGAGGTGGCAAGGACTTTTACTCACTGAGCCATCTTGCCAATCCCATCTTATGCTATTCAAATGCTACCATTTTACTGAGAATGTAATGATTTCATGTAATTTTAATTTCTTAAATGACCAAATATGTGAAACAACAATAATGTGCTTATTTGCCATCTGTATGTTTTCTTCATGAAATTTGTTTATGCCCTTTGACATTTTATTGGGTTATTGAATGATTTTCTGTATATTTTCTATATACTATATCTTCTTATAGCGAATATGCTTTCCATATGGAGTTTTGGCTTTTCAAGTTTTCCTGTGTTTGCTTTTGATGATTGACTGACATGAAGTAGCCATTGTACAACAGAACTGTTTCAAAATATTGTTTTCTCATTTTTGATGCTGTAAGGACCCTTTACTAGTCACACACACAAACTCTCTCTCTCTCTCTCTCTCTCTCTGTTTGGAGGTAGAGTATGGGATAGTAAGATTAGAGTTTGTGACACGAGAAATGTCATTTTAAATACCAAGGTAACATCCAGCACCTGTCATCCCAAAATAAGAAGACAGTAGTAATGCCTTGCAAGTTATGCAAGTGTCTTTAGAATTAGCCTAAATATTCTTTTCCTTATATAACAATAAAAACTAGTTGGCTCAGAAAATTCTCATATAGTACTATTGTTTTGATGATTTAAAAATATTTTATTTATGCATCTGAGAGTTTTTGCTTGCATGCATGTAAGTGCACCACATTCAGTGCCTGAAAAGGTCATAGAGGATGTTGGGGTCTCCAGATCTAGAGTTAGTTGGGATTGTCCATGTAGATGCTGGGAAATCACACAGGTCCCAGGAAAGAACAGTGAATATTTTTAATGGCCAACTTATCCTTCCAGTCTGGTTGCTCGGATCTTAAATTGACCTCAAAACTCATGCGCATAAGACTTGGTCCTTAGTTGATGGTACTTATAGGAGGTGGGAATGAGCTGGAGGAAATTAGGTCATGGGAAGCATGTCCTTGAAGGGTTTATTGAGATGCTAGCCCTCATTCCCTATCTTTGCTTCCTGTCTGATATGAGGTAAGCAGGTTCCCCCTCCCTATCCATCATGTATACTACTTTGCCATAAGAAACAGGTCCAAATGTTCACGGATGGCATCTTCTAAAGCTATGAACAAGATTAAATATTTCATTTTACAACTGATTTTCTCATAAAATAATTCTGTTCCCTTTTTAAGTGACTTATCTTGGGTATTTTGTCACACAGTCATAAAGCTGACTAACATGCAGTGTACTGGAGATATGTTTGCTTGCCATTAAGAGTTATCTTGGACAGAAAAGAAGGGAGATATAACTTAGAGAAGTTACTAGAGACATGTCACTCCATTAACAGCACAGAAATGGCAGGAAGATGGAAGGGTAGCGAGAAAGGGGAGAGTAAAGATATCAGTTTGGCTTTCCACATGGCTTATTCTGAACCTTGGTTAATATGAAGAGCAGGCAAGAGGGACTACTGCTCCACTATCTGTTTAAGACTCTGAAATGAGATCTCTTAGGTCATTCCTACTTTGACCCCTTGTTACCAAGGAATGGCCCAACAACCTGGCTGTACAGTGAGACTAAGCACAAGGCAATCTTTCTAGAGTTTTACTTCCTATACCATTCTTGGTTCCCCTGTGGTAAAGACATGTCTAGAAAGATCTAAGACTTTAACTAGGGAGCTTCCTATGACTCACTATGGAGGTGGTCTACCTCAAGCATCTAACCAGAATTGTCAGGATGTAGATAAGCAACTATTATAAGGCTCCACTCAAACATTGGAGACAAGAATTTAAATCATGTGCTAGAAGAAGCATTTGGCTATCAATTACAATAGGCCAAAGACATTCAGAGCGGCAATACGGACATCCTCTGGGCACCAGCAAAAGCAGAGGATGTTTCATACAAATGCCCTATTGTGCTTTCACGGGAACATGGAATCCAGTATTGCCTAAATTTTACTGTGCATGTGAAGCATGTGTGAATACTGTTGAAATTCATTAGGGTGTGAAGGGGGCTGGGAATCTGTGGTTTCTGTTACTTCCTCTGTCAGTGCAGCTGATACATAGATTATTAAGAACAAAAGCCATGTATCTTATATCCAGATAACAACTTTGGGGAAGGAGCAGGACAACAAGGAGACTCCCTGAGTGTCTGGGACATTTAGGGAGGCTCCACGATGATAGAATCTAGTGGAGTATTGCTAGGAAACTTGGTGACTAATGCAGCAACAAAAAGAAAACACTACATATAATACATAGTACTAGTCCTGTATGGGCTCCACAGTCAACATAAGACATAGGCAGAAATGTTAAAATGACAACACCACCCTGTGTAATACACAGAGGACATCACTAATTTCAAACCATAAAATTTTCAATTACGTTTGGATTCCAGAGATTCTTGAGATGATTTCTGGTCAGTGAAACTTGTTTTCCTTATGTATTGTGGAGGTGCTTAAAAAAGAAAGGGAGATTTATTTTTAACAATGGCCATAGAAAATATAACATAACAAATATTAAAAATTGCAACTGATTGCTACTCAGGCTTTTAGAATAAAACCAGGGAATAGTTCACAGCTTCATAAATATATACATATTAAGTATTTTTGCTGCCAGTGATGTGACTTGGTATTTTATGTCTCAAAACTCAAAGCCAAAGGAAGTACAAGATCCAGAAAACATATTGGCAGGGCTCTTGGTCCTTCTTAGGTTCACAGGGCCAGAGGCTTCAAAGACCTCAGCATATCCTTCATTTTGTTCTAAGGAAGGATAGTTATGCAAGTGGAACAAAGGACGTGGAAGCTGTAGACATAATGATGGAGCAACTTGGTGGGTGGCAGCATCATAGATGGCAGCCCCAGAGGGGTAGACTGAAGAGCTGCCTCTAGATCTTATTAGGAATAGGAAGGTACAGAGATATGTTAAGATATAGGGGCTTGGGAAAGCCACCATTCTGAATTAGACTTGTAGAGTTGTGAGCTGCAAAAAGCAGACTAGTCCACTGGCACAGTGTGGAGAGAGCAGCACCATCTGAGGATTAGGTGTCTAATCTAGGGGGCAATAAGGACAGTGATGCTGTTCATATTACACAAATTAAATCATGCAACTGAATTAGAGAGAGGGTTTTTTGTTTTATAAGCAGAAGAGATTTTTACCAAATCTAGTATTCCCACACATTGTTAATTTATAATAATAAAAATTTAATTACTTATCGCTTCCATAAGTTGTTGGAATGATTTATCACCAGCAAAGCTTGCTTTCTTTACATTTGGTAGAGCTGATTAAACAAAATAAAAAGACATTTAATTTTTACAGTTTAAATGACAAAATGATAAAATAACAAACATTAAAAGACTACTACTGTTGGACTTTTCCAACAGAGGAGTGCTGTTGAAATATACATGGCTCATAAAATGTTTTTATTTTCAGTGACACAGCTTTGTCACTCAAGGTCTCAAAAGCACAATTGTAGCTGGGTTCATATTGCCACAGCTTCAGAAGCATCTGTCAACAACATGTAATGAGAGTTTTCCAGGTGGATCAACAAGAGATTGGGGTAAAACCTCCCTGGGAAACAGAGTGGAAAGGCAAGGGGTGGCAGCAGCAGAAACCCACGCTTTCAGGCAACTCCCTATTCTGAATTGGGCTTGGAGAATTGTCTGCTAGGAAAAGTGGCGTAGCCTGCTTAGGAGAATATGGGAAGAAGAGCACCAACCAAGTAATCAAGGGATGACAGAGAGGGTGCAATCATTGGTAAGCATTGCCCCAAATACATCATTTGATGAAGGAAGTTAGAGGCCTTTTTTTTGCATTATTAAAAGAGCTCATTACCAAAATCCAGTATTCCACTAATGACTACGTTATAATAATAAAGTTTCAATTACATTTTAATTTAAGATGTTCATAAAACAATTTCTGGTCTGAAACACTTGTTTTCTTTGTGTGTGATGGAGTCACTAAAAGAAAAGACAGTTGGGTTAACAAAGGAATTGCCAATATGAGAAAATAGATATTTAATGGATCACTAACTGCCACTGAGCTGGGATTTTCTAAAATGGTGATGGAACAAGACCTAGGAACACTCTATTGTTTGCAAGCCAGAAGAGGACACCAGATCTCATTACAGATGGCTGTGAGCCACCATGTGGTTGCTGGGAATTGAACTCAGGACCTCTGGAAGAGCATCCAGTGCTCTCAACCTCTGAGCCATCTCTCCAGCCCAAGAACTCTATTGTTGAAGAAGTATATGTGGTAAATAAAACACTTCTGTTACTAGAGATACAAATGTCACGGAAGCTAAAGTAGGGGCAGGGCTAAGAAGGCACATTGGCAGGTGCCTTGACCCTTCTTGACTTAAAAGGCCCAGGCTTCAAAGACGTAAATAGAACCTCTGTTCAGTAATATGCTAGTATAGGTTTCCAGATGGATCAAAGATTCAAGGTAACCCCTCCCTGAAAGGTCCAGGTGTTAAGAAAGCAGTGTCAGCAGCAGAGGCAGATATCGAATATCTGACCCAAGATCTTGTAGGAGACAGAAAAGAACAGAGACAGGTCTACAGTCATGGGAGCTATGCTTTGAACTGGGCTTGGAGAGTTGTCACCTGCAACAAAAGGAGCTACTGTCTCAAGTAGTGTGGAAAGAGTAGCACTGATCGACTGACTGGGGAAGCTAGTTTGAAGGACTACAAAAGTGGTGACATTTTTCATAAGCACTATGTGGGAAATGTCATCTCATAGATGAGACTAGAGGATATTTAAGCAGAAGAGACTATTACCAATCATGAATTAATTTACAATATTTCAATTACATTGTGGTTCTAGATTGTCTTCTGTCAGCCTCCGGTCCATGAAACTTGTTCTCGTAATATTTGGATAAAGATCTTAAAGGGAAAAAAAAACATCAGTTTCAAAAATAGCAATGACAAAACAACCATTATTAAAATGACAACTGGCTAATCTCCATTGGGTTTTGCCCAAAGTACTATGGGAACATGAATGGGCAAAAGCATGGGACAAAGTATTTCTACTGTGAGAGATGTTGTGACATGTTAATGTAGGTCTCAAAAGCACAAAACTAAAGGAAGGGCAGAACTGAGAAAGGACACTTGTTGGGGGGTCTAAGGCCATATTAGGATTCTGGAGCCCTGGGCTTCAAAAGAGTTATTAGACCTTCTGGCAGCAACATAGCAGCCAAGTTCACCAGGTAGAAAAAATAAGTTAGAGGTAAATTCTTCCTGCCAGGCAGAACTTCTGAACATGGGGTAACAGCAGCAGAAGCTTAACAACTGCCTCAGTTCTCTTTGTGAGTGAAAATGTAGAGAGACCATATTCAATAGCAGGGACCATGGGGAAGGTGGGAGATGGTTGTTCTGAACTGAGTTGGAGAGTTGTGTTCAGGAAATACAGCTTACCCCACTCTGAGAAGGTGGAAAGAGCAACACCAATTGAGTAATTAGGGAGTGTAACCCAGAGGCAACAGAGAGGATAGCAAAGTTAGTAAACATTTTTCCAGTACACCATTTGATATATGATAGAGGATTATTGCATTGTATACAGTAGAGGTCAATACCAGATCCAGTACTCCCATAAATTACTTATTTCTAAGCAGAAAAATTACAATTACATTTTGCTTCTTGAAGGTCGTCAAGGAATTTCTGGTTGATAAAACTTGCTCTCTTTGTAGTTACTGGGGCATCTTAAAAAAAAGACATCTATCTTTAACAGTGGCATTGACAAATCCATACAATGACATTATATTAACATGGCAATTGACTACTTGTCACCTGGGGTTTTCCAAAAAGACTAGGAGAACAGGAGTGGAGGAACACGTTTCTGATACAGATAATATATGTAGTTAATAACATTTCTGTAGCCTTGGGAATGACTGACAGTAAATCTCAAACCCTTGGGCAGACAGAATTAAGTAAGCACATTAGCACCTAAGGCCACAGGTTTCAGAAACATCAGTAGATCCTCCATTCAACAAGAGCCTCAATTCAACAATCTAGAAGGGGAGTTCTCTAGATACAATTAAGCATTTTGAGGCAAAAACTGCACAGGATGCAGGGGTGGTGGTCAAGGAATGACAGCAGAGGAGATGGAATGAAGGTATATCTTGGGAATCTCATTGGTGATAGAAAAGTACTGAGATGGGTTAAGGAGCAGGGAATTTGGGAAAGCTAGGGTTTTGAAATGGACTTAGAACTACAAAGAGAGGGCTTCCCTACTTTGGGAGCATGGAAAAGAATAACACTGATTGAGGAATTAGGGAATCTAATCCAGAAGGCAGTGGAGATGGTAACATTGTTCATAATCACTACTAAAACTAAGTCATCTGACAGAGGAAGGTAGAGGATATTTTTCATCTTCATTTAACAGAACCTGTGAGTCCCAAACTCACATGTTCCCACCAATTACTAACTTTCAATCATAACATTTCAATTACATTTTTTTTCAGTAGGTCTGTGAAATAATGTCTGCTCAGCAAAACTTGATTTCCTCGCACTGGAATGATGATAATCTTTAAAAGAAAGAACAGGCATTTTTTTTAACAGTGAAGGTGGTAAAATAAAATGACCAATATTATTAAAACCATAGCTAAACTAATCAGGATTTTCTGAGAGGGGAAGAAGGACTGGGGGACACCCTACTTTTGCACAAACACATGTTGCAATTATACCGTTTCTGTTGCATGTGATGTCACAAGACAAGTTGGTAAGGCTGCAAGTTTCACAAGTATCAGAAGAATATCTATTTAGTAATATGAAAGGATAGCTTTCTGGGCCGGTGTGCCCATGATATCATGTGACACTGCTTGTGATCTGCAGTATTAGTACTTGAGAAATGTAGAGTTGCAAAAAGAATCTTTTAGTGCCTTAAGTAAGTTTCTAATTTTGTACTGGGCATCACTCATAGCTGCCCCTGGCCACAGATATGATACACCTGAGTAGAAGAACGGATTTTTGAGGTAAAATCTTCTTGGAGGTGCTTAGCAAGGTGTAGCTGCAGCAGAGGCACAGGCTGAAGAGTTGCCTCATAATCACATTGGTAAGAGAAGTACAGAGACAGTTCATCAGCAAGGACCATTGTGAATGTCAGAGTTATTAAATGGGGATTGGAGAGTTGTCACCCACAAGATGAGACCTATTTTACTCTGGAGCATGTTGGGAATCAGTACCAAGTGCACAATTAGGGAGTCTAAAAAGTATTCCATCTTGCATGGGGATAGAGGATTTTTCTACATTGTAGTCAGAAGAGATCTTTACATTACCAAATCCAGAATTCCCATGAATGACTAACTTCTAATTATAAAATTTTAATTACCTTTAGGTTCCAAAAATTCATGAAATGTCTGCTCCTCAAGCAAACTTGATCTCTCTGTCTCTGTAGGAGAAACTTAAAAGGGGAGGCTTTTATTATTAACGGTGGAAAAGAATAAATGATAGCGTGGCAAATGTTAAAATTACTGTAACCACTAAATTGAGTCTTCTTAAATGAACCAGGGGGAACATTCTATGCTGCAGGAATATAAATGACAAATTAAATATTTCTGCTGCCAATGGCACATATTCCTGTGTGTCTTAAAGACAAGGAAAGATAATGACTGAGAAAGCACATTTTCAGTGTTCTTGGTCACAGGGACACAGTTCACAGGGATACAGGCTTCAGATGTATGAGGAGAGCCTCTATTGAGTGATCTGGAAGGATAGTTCTCCAGGTGAAACAAAGGGATGCCATCAACAGAGACTGGAGAGCAACTTTAGGTTCTCATTGGTAACAGAACAGTACAGAGGCAATCTCAGTAGTGGGAGTCACGAGAAAGTCATGGTTCTGATTGGGGTCTGGAGACTTCTCACTTGTCCAAAGCAGTGTAACCTGCTCTGGGGGTGTGGAGAGAGCAACACTAACTAGCAATTAAGATATTTATTCAGGGGCAGTGGAGAAGGTGACACAGTTCATAAGTATTACCCCCAAGGCACCGTTTGATGGAAAGGGATGGAGGATTTCTGCATTGTGTGGTATTACCACAAATTATTAATTTCTACTAGTAAAATTTTAATTACATTTTGTTTCCAGAAGTTCGTAAAATGAAGATCTCTCTTCGTCAAAACTGGCTTTTGTAATTTGTGAAGTAGCTTTAAAAAAAGATAGTTGTTTTTAGCAATGGAGATGACAAAATTAGAAAAATCACAAATATTAAAAGGATCACTGACTATTATTCAGTTATGTTTTTCCAAAAGGACCAGGGTAACAAGAGTGGGCATCATACTATTCATGCAGAAATGCATGTAGTGAATAAAGTATCTCTACTTCAAGTGACAAGATATGTTACTAGAGGTCTCAACAGCCCAAAGCCGAATAGAGGAAGGGATTGAAAAAACACATTGGCAGGCCTCTTGGTGTTTGCTAGTCTCACGAGGTCACAGACTTTAGTTATATTGAGTTAAGTAGGAGAAGAGTCTCCATTCTACAATCTGCATTGTCACTAGTTGAGACACAGCAATAGACTTAGAGGTTAAAACCTCCTTGGGAGGCAGAGCGGCTAGAGGAGCAAGGGGTGGCAGCAACAGAGGCATGACTGAAAATTTGCCTCAGGGTCTTCTTAATAAGGAAAACTACAGAAGCAAATCCAGTAACCGGGTCTGTGAGGGTTCTGAACTGACTTGAAGAGTTGTCAGCTGTACAGGATGAGTCTCCCTGCTCATGGGAATGAGGGGAAAGTCACAGCAATTGAGCTCTTCCAGAGTCTAATCTAGATGGCAACATAGATGGTAGCGCCACTGGCAAACACTATCACCAGTCATCATTTGTAGATGGGGACAGTGGGGTTGTCTACATGCTAAGCAGGGGGTGATCACTGCCAGGTGTCATAAATTATTAAATTCCAATCACAACACAATAGTTACATTTTGACTCACTTGATTCTTCCAAAAGTCTTTGGTCAGAGATACCTGTCCTTAAACTTGATGTAGATGCTATAAGGAAAGACCACTTATTTTTAACATTGGTGAAGACAAAATGATAAACTAAAAAATGTTAAAATAACTACTATTCAATTGTGCCTTCCCAAAAGAAGCAGGGGTGTGAATTAAATATTTCTGCTGCCAATGGCACATATTCCTGTGTGTCTTAAAGACAAGGAAAGATAATGACTGAGAAAGCACATTTTCAGTGTTCTTGGTCACAGGGACACAGTTCACAGGGATACAGGCTTCAGATGTATGAGGAGAGCCTCTATTGAGTGATCTGGAAGGATAGTTCTCCAGGTGAAACAAAGAGATGCTATCAACAGAGACTGGAGAGCGACTTTAGGTTCTCGTTGGTAACAGAACAGTACAGAGGCAATCTCAGTAGTGGGAGTCACGAGAAAGTCATGGTTCTGATTGGGGTCTGGAGATTTCCCACTTGTCCAAAGCAGTGTAACCTGCTCTGGGGGTGTGGAGAGAGCATAACTGAGTAATTAGGGAGTTTGGTCTAGAGAAGCAAAGATGGTGACAGTTGTTCATGAGTGTTACCCACAAGACACCATTTGATGGAAAAGGATAGAGGATTTTTCTGCATTATAATTAGAAGGCTCATTACCAAATCCAGTATTCCCACTAATTACTAATTTCCAACCATAATATTTCATTTACGTTTTTGTTCCAGATATTCTTGAGACGTTTTCTGCTCAGTGAGACTTGATTTTTTGGGAGGTGTTGAAAATGCTTTAAAAAAAAAGACATTTATTTTTAACAGTGGAGATGACAAAATGATAAAATTCCAAATATTAAAATGACAACTACTACTCAATGGTGCTTTTCCAAAAGGCCCAATATAACAATGTAGAAAACTCTGGTGCTGTTGAATTTTATGTGGCTAATAAAATAGATCTGTTCCCAGTGGCATGATATAGTACTATAGGTCAAAAAGGCCCAAGACCAAAGGGAGGGGGAGATTAGGAAAGCACACTGGCATTGCTCCTCAGTAGGTTCATAGGACCACAGGTTTCAGAGCAATCCATGGACCATCTGGTCAGCAACCTGCATGGGGAATTCACTACGCAGAAAAAGGAGGAGGCAGAGATGCTGAGCAAGGGCTAGTAGGAGCATAGGAATAATCTAAGGTCTTCTCAGGAACTCACTGGTAAGGCAAAGTATAGGGATGAGTTCACTAGCAGAGCCTGCGGGGAAGTCACTGTGTGAACCACACTGGAGAGTTGTCAGCTACACCCGAATCAATTGAGTCCCCACCCCTTCCTTTTCTCCCTATCTCAAACCAGTATTTTCTTTTACTGGTTTTCACTCTTAAGTTTTAGCAACTGTATTTCTACCAAAGCAATTACTCACCTTCAGAACTGTCAAACATCTTTCTTTATGGTGTTTTGTAGGCTTTTAATAATGAGCTTCTTTAAAAACTCTTTTACCCTGATCTTCCTAAGTTCCTCCCTTTCTCTCTCTTTTATGTCTCCTTAACTCTCATCTCCTTTTAGTTTTTGCTTGCTTTCAGGCTGCCTTTTTCTTCCTCCTTCCCTGACTTTCATGATTTGCATAACCCTTCCTCTCGCCTTTCTGTTCCCATCTCCCATTTTCTTTTCCTATTTTTTTCTGACTTGGCCTGTATTCCTTTTTTTATTATTTATTTTTAAGTTTAAATTTAGATTAGAGACAAGGTTACTTCACAAGTCAGTTCCAGGTCCCTCTCCGTTTCCCTCCCCTCCTCCTGTGCCCTCCTCCCAACCCCCCCATTATCCCCTCATTCCCCCAGGGAGGGTGAGGCCCTCCATGGGGGTGTCCATAGTCTGTCCCCAAGAGTTCAGGGTGAGAGTGCACCTCACATTGTTGGATGGGAGTCCAAAGTCCGTGTGTATTCTCGGAATGGGTACTGATCTGCTGCCCAAGGCTCAATAGATTCCCTAGGCCTCCTCACTGACCCTCACATTCAGGGGGTCTTAATCAGTCCCATGCTGGATACCCAGGCTGATGCCTGGGATTCAAGAGTTAACCCTTGTCAGGTCAGGTGTTTCTGGGGGTTAAACCAGCCCAGTCTTAATCCCTTTGGTCATCAGTCCTCCCTCTCTGTTACTGGCTTTCTTGAGTTCAGCTCAGTGCTTAGCCATGGGAGTCTGCCTCTTCTTCCATCAGCCACTGACTCTCTAGCCATGGGATTGTAGGCTGCTACTCCCCAGATCTATGTCTAAAATCAATATATGAGAGAGTACATGCCATGTTTCTCTTTTTGTGACTGCGTTACCTCACTCAGGATGGTTTCTTCAAGTGCCATTCATTTGCTTCCATTTTTTCTGCTGAATAGTACTCCATTGTGTAAATGTAACACATTTTCTCTATCCACTCTTCGGTTGATGGGCATCTAGGTTGCTTCCAAGTTCTGGCTAATACAAATAATGCTGCTATAAGCATAGTGGAACAGACATCCTTGTTGTATGAATGGACATCTTTTGGATATATGCCTAAGAGTGGAGTTGCTGGGTCTTGTGGTAGGTTTATTCCCATTTTTCTGAGGAATCTCCATAATGATTTCCAAAGTGGCTGAACAAGTTGGCACTCCCACCAGCAATGGAGGAGTGTTCCCCTTTCACCACATCCTCTCCAGCATAAATTGTCATTGGTGTTTTTGATTTTAGCCATTCTGACAGGAGTGAGATGGTATCTCAGAGTTGTTTTGATTTGCATTTCCCGGATGGCTAAGGATGTTGAGCACTTTCTCAAGTGCCTCTCAGCCATTTTAGACTCCTCTATTGAAAATTCTCTATTTAGTTCTGCAGCCCACTTTTTAATTGGATCCTTTGGTGTTTTGGAGACTTGCTTCTTGAGTTCTTTGTAAATTTTGGAGATCAACCCTCTGTCAGATATGGGGTTAGTGCATATTTTTCCCATTCTGTGGGCTGCCTTTTTGTCTTGCTGACTGTGTCCTTTGCCTTACAGAAGCTTCTCAGTTTCAGGAGGTCCCATTTATTAATTGTTGACCTCACTGTCTGTGCTACTGGTGTTAAGTTCAGGAAGCTGTCTACTGTACCAGTTCGTTCAAGGGTACCACCCAATTTCTCTTCTAAGAGGTTCAGTGTTGCTGGATTTATGTTGAGGTCTTTGATTCATTTGGATTTAAGCTTTGTGCATGGCGATAAACATGGATCGATCTGCATTCTTCTACATACCAGCCTCCAGTTATGCCAGCACCATTTGTTGAAGATGCTTTCTTTATTCCATTGTATATTTTTAGCTTCTTTGTCAAAGATCAGATGTTCATACGTGTGTGGGTTAATATCAGGGTTTTCAACTCGGTTCCATTGGTCTACCTGCCTATTTTTGTGCCAATACCAAGCTGTTTTCAGGACTATAGCTCTATAATAGAGCTTGAAGGCATGGATGGTGATGCCTCAGGACGTTGCCTTGTTGACTAGGGTTGTTTTGGCTATCCTGGGTCTTTTGTTTTTCCATACGAAATTGAGTATTGTTCTTCCAAGTTCTGTGAAGAATTGTGCTGGTATTTAATGGGGATTGCATTGAATCTGTAGATTGCTTTTGGCAGGATTGCCATTTTTACTACATTGATCCTACCTATCCAAGAGCATGGGAGATCTTTCCATTTTCTGAGAGCTTCTATAATTTCTTTCTTTAAAGATTCAAAGTTCTTCATTCTCATTGAATTCTAGGAAGTCTTTAATTTCTTTTTTTATTTCTTCTTTGACCCAGGAATGGTGCAGTTGTGCATTATTCAATTTCCATGAGTTTGTAGGTTTTCTGCATTTTGTGTTGTTGTTGAATTCTAATTTTAAAGCATGGTGGTCTGATAAGATGTATGGAGTTATTCCAATTTTTTGAAGCTGTTGAGGTTTGATGTTTCCAAGTATGTGGTCGATTTTTGAGAAGGTTCCATGTAGTGGTGAGAAGAAGGTATATTCTTTTTTGTGTGGATGAAATGTTCTATAGATGTCTGCTAATCCCAGTTGTGTCCTTACTTCTATTAGACCCTTTGCTTCTTTGTTGAGTTTCTATCTGGTATTCCTTTCTAGTGGTGAGAGTGGTGTGTTGAAATCTCCCACTATAAGTGTGTGGGGCTTTACATGAGATTTAAGTTTTAGTAATTTTTCTTTTACGCATGTGGATGCCTTTGTATTTGGGGCATAGATGTTCAGGATAGACACTTCATCTTGGTGGATTTCGCCTGTGATGAGTATGTAATGACCTCCTTCACCTCTTTTGATTGATTTTATTTTAAAGTCTAATTTGTTAGATATTAGTATTGCTACCCCTGCTTGTTTCTTGGGTCCATTTGTTTGGAAAATCTTTTCCCAACCTTTAACTCTCAGGTAATATCTGTCTTTGAGGGTGAGGTGTGTTTCTTGTATGCAGCAGAACGCTGTGTTCTGTCTTCGAATCCATTCTGCTAGCCTGTGTCTTTTTATGGGTGAGTTAAGGCCATTAATGGTGAGCAATATTAATGACCATTGATTGCTCATCCTTCTTCAATTTGGAATGGTTGTTGTTGGTGGAATTATGTGTGGAATTTTATCCCTTTGTTCTTTTGGCTGTTGGTAGAGAGGGATTCTCTAATGCCTATGTTTTTCTGGTTGTAGTTAACTTCCTTGGTTTGGAGTTTTCCTTCCAAAACTTCCTGTAGGGCTGGGTTAGTGGATATGTATTGCTTGAATCTAGTTTTGTTACGGAATATCTTGTTTTCTCTGTCTATAGTGATTGAGAGCTTTGCAGGGTATAGTAGTCTGGGCTGGCATCTATGGTCTCTTAGTGTTGGTAGAATATCTATCCAGGACCTTCTGGCTTTCAGAGTTTCCATGGAGAAGTCAGGTGTAATTCTTATGGGTTTGCCTTTATATGTTACTTGGCCTTTTTCCTTAGCTGCTCTTAATATTCTTTCTTTATTCTGTATATTTGGGGCCTTGATTATTATGTGGCGAAGGGACTTTTTGTGATCCACTCATTTTGGTGTTCTGTAAGCTTCTTGTACCTTCATTGGCATGTCTTTCTTAATTAAGGTTGGGAACGTTTTGTTGTATGATTTTGTTGTATATGTTTTCTGCCCCTTTGAGTTGGTTTTCTTCTCCTTCTTCTATACCTATTATTCTTAGGTTTGGTCTTTTCATGGTGTCCCATATTTCCTGGATGTTTTATGTTAAGGATTTGTTGGACTTAAGATTTTCTTTGGTTGATGAATCCATTTCTCCTAGTGTATCTTCAACACCTGAGATTCTCTCTTCCATCTCTTGTATTCTGTTGGTAATGCTTGTATCGGTAGTACCTGACAGTTTGCCCAGCTTTTCTATTTCCAGCCTTTCTTCAGATTGTGGTTTTTTTATTGTCTCTATTTCAGTTTTCAACCCTTGCACTGTTTGCATTGTTTCTTGCAATTTTAGGTTTATCTTTTTGTCCATTTGTTGCCTCTTATGAATTTTTTGGTTTGTTTTTTTGTCCATTTCCTGCCTTTTTTTGGTTTGTTTCTTCTTCCAGTTCTTGCATTTTTGGTTTGTTTTTTCTTTCATTTCTTGCATTTTTTGCTGTGTTTCTTCTTCCATTTCTTTGAGGGATTTTCCTATATCCTCTTTTAGGGCCTCCTATCATTTTCATGAAAGTGGTTTTAAGGTCATTCTCTTGTTTCATTTGCATTGGAATGTTGGAGTCTTGCTGGTGTGGAGTCTCTAGATGTCCTATTTGTTTTTCTGTTGCTGAGTGTGTTTTTGTATTGTCTCTTTCCCATCTCTTCTTCTAGTGGGTGCAGAAAGATCCCCTTACTGGTCTGGTGGTTAGGAGACCAGAGTTCCCTTTTGGTGGGTGCTAGCAAGTCCAATACTCTGGTAGTTCTTCTATTCCTCGTCCTCCTTCTTGTCCCGTGGGTGGAGAAGAAGACCAGGAATCTAGGGTGCTTAGCCTCCCACCTGGTCCCCTGGTCCCTTTGCTAGATCCGCTGGTTTCCTGGTCTCATTGGTGGGAGAGAAGACCTGGAGTCTGGGGTGCTTGGCTCCTGCTGGGATTGGAAATTCTGTGCAGTTCCCAGGCGATCCCCAAGCACTGGAACACAGGCCCAGATGCAGGGCCTATTTTACCTGGTCCAGCCGGAACAGGTGGTCCCCTGGTCTCCCTGGATCCACTGATCTGGCCTGTATTCCTTTATTTTTGTACATCATTACAATCCCTTCTCTCCCTTTTATAGTTTATATCCTTGAGCCCTGAATTTCCCCTTTAAAGTCTGTCATTGAATCTACATCTCCCCCCTCCCCAGATGTTGCAACCACTGTCTATTTTACCTTGTTCTACTGATGTTTCTGTTTTCCTCACTTCTCTTCCTGCTGGCCAAGATTCTTGCAGACTAAATGTGAGTCAGGCTCACATCTCTTCTGCTAGGCCCATCAGTGCTCTTTCATAGAAAACCCAGCTTGAACAAAACCCTTGCTGCATGAGTTCAGGCACCACTTTCCCAGCCCCCATCCTGGTGCCTTGTTCTACCATTCCTCAGTGGATAGTCTATCACTCCAGTCTGTCTTCAGCCAAAGTCATTATGTCCCTTTAACCAGATCCTCCTTACCATTTGCCCCTCTCCTCTGAAATTCCTCCTAAATTTTCCAGTAGTCTGTGGTCTGTTGGGAGACTGACTCTTTTATTAAAGTTGCCCTGAGAACACCGTTTTTACTGCTGACTGGCTCTTTTTTTGTGAAATCCCATTTCCTTCTTTACTATCTTTCACGGCTTCTGTTTTTCTTTTCTTTTACTCCTTCTGTGCAAAGTCCCCTTTAAATATATGAGCTTTTTCTTTAACAGCCTCACCTATTTGAACCAATCATTTATTGTCCTATATTTTACTGTCTACCCATTTTTTATTTCAAGTTTGCTTCACATGTCAATCCCAGCTCCCTCTCCCTTCCCTCCATCCCCATGTCTCAGTCTTTTTACTGGCTCTACACACTAAATTCTTCTTCCCATCTTGTTCTTTTAACTACTTTTGTAAGTACTGATTTATAAACATTTTATTATTTTTTATGTGTACTAGTGTTTTGCCAAGCACATGTGCTTGGTGCCTCAAGACCAGAAAAAGGCTTCCTATCTCCTGGCTCTGGAATTACAGTGGTGAGCTATCTTGTGAATGCTGAGAATTAAAACTGGGTCCTCCACAAGAGCTGTCAGTTCTCTTAACTGCTGAGCTATCTCCCCATTCCCTGGCTTCATCATTTTAAGGCATTTCCTGTTATCTTTTATTGCATTTATACTTTGATTGAATTTTAAACTTCTTTTAGTGTTACAAATCTATTTCACTTGCTTGCCCTTTTTCACTTGTCTTTCATGATCAGATTCCAAATTTTTAAAAACTATACATTTTCTTACTCATTTTTATACTTTCTCTCCCAGCCTTGCCTTTTCTTTTCTTGTCTTCTCTACTGCCTCTCTCATGCTCATTAGTCTCCTTTTTTCTCCCTTCTTCCTATGCTTTCTTTTCCTGTCACTCCTCTTCCATTTCTCCCCCTTGGCTTCCTCCATTTACAAGCTCCTGTTATTCAGAGAGAGAGAGAGAGAGAGAGAGAGAGAGAGAGAGAGAGAGAGAGAGAGTGCACCTCACGTATCCAGATGCCTGCACAGACCAGAAGAGGGTGCCAGATCCCTGGATCTGAAGTTACAGGTGTCTGTGAGCCACCTGATGTGGCTGTTGGCACCAAGCTTTGTCTTCTGAAAGAACTGCAAATGTTCTTAATCATGGAGCCATCTCTCTGGCTCCACAGGCTGCTGTTAAGCCTTTGCTTTCCCTCCTCCATTGTCTTAATTTACTAGCTTCTTTTTAGAATCCAGTCTATGCTGATTTGTTTTTTCTGTCAAGTCACCTGTGTATTTTTATCCATTTACATTTTGAATCCCCTTGTCTTATTGTGCTTACATTTTCTTGTACTCTTGAGGGTTTTCTTTCCATACCTACCCCTTCTTCATGTCTACCTATCTACCTATCATAATTTCTATTTCTTTCCAACTCTTTAGTGGCTTTTCAAAATGTCTCCTACCTACATTGTACTTTATATCACCAGTCCTACACCTCTCTTCTTCACTTTGTCTCCATTAGTTTATCTTTTATCCCCTACTGCTCCATTCCCTTTAAGTTTTGTTTTGGTTTGTTTCTCTATTTTTACTTTTTGTTGTTTTGTTCATGTTTGTTTCTTTTGCTCTTCTTTCTTCTTCTCCTCTCTAGCCTATTCTTCATCTTCTCTATTCTCCCTTTCTCCTTCCATCTTTTTTATGAGCTCACATTTTATTGGCTCCTCCTCTTAAATTTTTTCTTTTCTTGCCTTGTTTCTGATTCTTTTCCTGCTGTGTTGTTTTATGTTTTGTTTCTGGTTTTTCTAGAATTCAGACCTATTAATCTGTCTACATATCATGTTTTAAAAAACTGGTACCCTTCCCCCACAAGGCCTGAGCTACTCATTGGCTCCTTTTCAAGCATCTCTCCCACAATTCCCTCTTCTTTCTTGTTCCCACTGACTTTGTTTTTTTTAAATTTATCTCCTTCTTTCTTCCCATTGCTATTGGTTCTTTTCTTTGAGTTTTACTTCATTTCTTTCGATTTTCTGTGCTTTCTTTCCACCCCTCTCCCTCCTCTGTCTCTCTTATTCTTGCTGGCTTCCCTTGCTTCTGCACGTTCTTCCTCCTTTCCTTCCTTTTTCAATTTCCCCTTCCTTCCTTTTCTTTTCACTCCTCCTTCCTCCTCTCACCTCTCATCCCACCCCTTCCTTCCCTCCTCTCACATGTTCCCCTCCCTTTTCCAACCTCTTTTCCTCCCTCCTCCCATCTTTACCTTCCCCCACCTCTCCCACTTATTCCTCTTACCATCTTTACCATTTTACGTCTCATTTTCCCCTCCCTCTTCCCACCTTTACCTGCCCTCCTCCTGTGTTTATCCCTCCTTCCTTTCTCTTTCTTCTCTTGCTCTTGTTCTCATCTTTCCCATCTCCACTCTGTCCTTTCATTCTCCCTCCTTTTCTTTCTTCCTCTCTCCTTCCCTCTTTCTTCCCAATCTTCTCCCTGTCATCTACCCTCTTTTTCTCCTACTTTACTTGTTCCATCTTCTTTCCTTCTTTTCCTTCCCCTCCTTCTCTTTTCCTCCCTCCCTTTCCCTTCTTTCCTTCTGGTTTTACCTTCCCTCCACCCTCCTCCCATCTTTCTTCTTCTTCCTTCCTTTCTTCATTTTCTCTTTCTTCTTCTTTAAGACATCATCTTCATAATTTATTCAAGCCCCTCCACAGGTAGGATAAAAGCATGCTGTCTTCTCTTCTTATTCCCTTTTAAAGATCCCTGTTTGCCTTCCTCCCTTCCTCTATCCCCCTTTGTAACTTACAGTCCCTTTTTCTGTCCTTACCTTTTTTTACTTACTTAAAAAAGTGCTCCACTTCCTTAGCTTTGACGGGTTGAAGTCTCTTGGGTAAACCCTGCAAACCTTTGCAAATGTACTGGAATTCCTTCCTTCCTAACCCTTTTCAAACCCATTTCTTGCCATTACAATGTTCCTTTTTACTCCTTTCCTAATACCTCTTCCTTCCTTGTCTACGTTTTCTCCTTCTCTATCCCCCCTATCTCTCATCTGTTTTGTGTTCATCTCCACCTACTCCCACAAATTGATGCTGGAGTCTGTTGGTTTCTCTTGTTCAATTTTCTTTCTTCTTTCTCTCCTTGTCATTAGTTCTTTGTATAACACCTTTGCTTACTAAGTGCTTTCTCTTTTTCAAGATTTTTTTGTTCTTTTTTTCTTATTACTTTATTTGTACATTTTAATATTCTCTTGATTTTTTGTTTGCTTTTACTGGCTTGTTAAAGTTTTCTTCACTTTTTAATGTTTTCTTACTGCCTGCCTCAACTTACTTCCCTCATTTACTTTCTGCATTTCTTACCCAAGTGTACGTGCTACTCCCTCTTCCTGGTTGTTTGTTAAACTGTGTATAACAGCTTGGCAACAGTGGCATGCACCTTAATCCCAGCACCCAGGAGGCAGAGTAAAGCAGATCTCTGTGAGTTTGAGACCAGCCTGGTCTACAAGAGCTAGTTCCAGGACAGGTTCCTCCAAAGCTACACAGAGAAACCGTGTCTGGGAAAAAACTATGTATTTACTTGTCAGCTCTGTGTATTGTGCATATATTTTTGTTAAGTGGATCTATAACTGGAAAGTGCATCACATAGTGCCTGACATAGGTATTGAGGGCTCCTAGTACTTACTTTTGCAGGGGCCTTTTTAAAAAGTCATGTCACTATAAGGGGGTTTTATATAGACACTAATATTTAATATATTGGTGTTCAGCTTCCACTTATCTACTACGTCTTTTATTTTCTCTCTCCTATATCTCTTACCTGTTTCAGGTGGATTTTTACTTTCAGAGATACTTGCTTCCTGCTTTTCTTCGTTACGATCTTTCTGTTGCAATTTTTGTAAATGATAGGCAATTCTTTTCTGAAGCATTGCTTTTTTCTATAAAATATTAAAAATATGTTAGGTATGTTTCAAATTCAAATAGAAACCTGTCAGTATAAATGCAACAGATTATTTCAAATGAGATGCTGTAACTGAAGTAGACCTTTGTCCCTGTCTGGAGATGTATACATTTACAATGAGTATGAAGAAAGGTATTCTGAGGTAAATTTCCTTTTATGACTTAGCATGAAATTGTGTGTACGTGTGTGCATATGTGCATGTGTTCATGCTCTTCTGTCATCTCTAAATTCCAGCTGGGGTCTTGAACACGCTAGGCAATCTCTTTACCATGGAGGAAAAGCATATTTTAGTAACAACTCAATCTAACTTTCTGGGGACTCTTTCTTGAATTACAGACTGGGGCTAGAATGAGTCTCTCCATCGATAACTACCTTCTGAAAATTCACACTTTAAAATACAGAATCATGACAAAAGCCTTCCTTGAACAGCCCAGGTCCAGCAAAGCTGGCTACCTTTCGGTTAATTTCATCTCTGATTTTCCAGTGATGCTCTTCAACTTTGGCCTCCCTCCTAACTTCCTCTCCAATCTTCGTTAGAAGTGTCATCTCCTTGGTTTGCCATTCCTAAGGGACAAACCATTACAGTTGTCACCACATGTCTATTTAATTTTCAAAGTGTTTCATTGTTCTACAACCAATATATAAATTAGATAAAATCAATGGCCTAACACATTTTGGAATAATAATAAAGCAAATCTTGCATTGGATTTTGAATGTGCTTATCTGTCTGCTATTCCTTGGGACTGTCCTGTTGGATATAAAGGAATGAAAAAGGAAAGCAATTATTTTGTTATTACAAGCATGATTCCAGCACAAACATATCTCTAAAGATGAATATCAAAAGGCATTGGCAAAAGGATGTTGATTTCTAACTCAGGGAGGATGTCACATGTAATCTGCTGCTCTTAAAGATATTCTGACAGAGAAACTAAACAAACAGTCACGTCAGAACTCATGTGGAGGTCAAAGGACAACTCTATAGAGTGAGCTCTCTACTTCCAACTTCACATATATGTTGGGACTTGGATTTAGGTCACCAGACTTGTGCAGGAAGTGCCTTTTTTATTTGCAAGTGCCTTTCTCAATGAATCTTTCTGGCTGGCCTGGCTTTCTTTTCTAAACTGAAATAACTTCAAATCATAGGGTGAACCTGTTAAAATTGTTTACAAATAAAACAACCATAGAAGCTTTCCATTCAAAATTTGATCCTCACCTCTTCAATTTGTTTTCGTAGACTCAGTTTCCTTCTAACATTATCCCAATGTTGTCTGTCTTCTTCCTTCAACTGAAGTGTATTTCGTCTTCCTGTGGTGTTTTCAATTTTGTCTAGTTCTTTGTTAATCATATGCAAATGTCTAAGTAAAAGTGAAACAAAGGAATGTAAACTGGATATTTCCTTCAGGATACCTGTCACTCTGGTATATCAGCATGCATTCTGGTATAGTCTGAGGTGAATGTATGGATTATAGGGGCCAGATAATGAATAACTGGCTTTCAATTAAGATTTAAAAGAACCCTACAATTCCTCCCTTTACCTTCTAAAGCTGCAGCTTGTTCTCTAAATGGTAATGTGTGATAGTAGCTGAAGGAAAATTCCCAATTGGTAGAGTAATGGCGTGTTTACATTAACATCAGATATAGTTGTAGCAATTTGATCACTGTGGCTTTAAAATAATTTATTTAAATTTGCTTTTGATATGTATTAAAGATACTCTCTCTCCCTCTGGTACCACAGACCTGGATTTCACAGGATCAGTGACTTATATTTTGGATTTCTTCAATAACAGTTCGACTTCCCTCTTGGGCTCCTGGCGGCTCCAGTTTCTCAATTGGAAACTTATGTTCCATCCTCAGTACCACGGTTCCCAATCCCTGTACCTCTTGGTGTAATTTTTATAATTAAACAATTTTTAAAAAATGTGTCTTGGCGTTTTGTCTGCAAGTCTGTGTACCAAATGCATACAGTGTCCTTGGAGGGCATCAGATCCCTTAGAACTGGAGTTACAGATGCTATGTGGGATCTGGGAATCAGACCCTAGTGCACTTAGCTTCTGAGCTGTCTCTAAAGCCCTCCTTAAAGGACCTTTTCTGTTTTCCATGTTGAAAATGCTGAGGGGCTAAAATGTATCTAATACCTTTATGATTCTAATCCTTCCTAGTGTTTTTGCAGTTTTGAGTGTCTAAATGTGCCCATGAAATATACACAAACTATGACTCTACCTTCGCTTAATTAATCGTTCTTCATTAGGGCGAGGTTTTTTCCCTTCTTGTAACAACCACCGCTGAAACTCAGCAGCAGCAGCGGCGTTGTCACAGGCCCGTCTTTCTTCCTTCAGTTTGTTCACTTGATTTTCTATAATTTTCTGCAAGGAAATAATTATTGGATGTTACATAATTGATAGAAATAAACTTATCCCTTGATCTTTTTCTAAATTTAATTTTAATAATGTTCTGAATTTTACAACTTGTTAATTCTTCTAACCTGTTTTTAGGCTTTGCATGACCACATCCCACAAATAAACTTTTTATATGTAAAAATCAAATGGGCTTTCTATCTTTTATAGATTCTTCATACAGAATGTATTCCCAGACTATTTTATGGAAATATGTGCTGAGGGCCTAACTTTTCACAAATTTTTATAGATCCCAAATAAAACAAACTCAAATGTTTAACTTACTTGTTCTCTTTCATAATTTCGTTCAAAATCGATTTTTAAAGTGGTAAGATATTGTCTGTATTTGTTCAGCTCTTTTAAGGAACATACGACCTACAAGTCCAAAAATGAAAACATTATTATAAAAATTTTAAAACTATAACAAGTTTATAGAAGAGAATAAAAATATTCATTTTAGTAACAATTTGAGGATCAGATGTAATAATGTATTTTTGTAACATTTTTGTAGTTAGTATCTCTAGACAGTTAATGACCCACCAGAAAATTTCTTAATATTTCACTAACATAGTTTCAACTCAAAATTACTTCTAGAGACATGAAAGTAAATGTCAGTGTGTTTATATATCAAAAATTGTTTGATAATTATATTTTCCTATCATTGAAAAATTGTCAACTATAAACTAGTTTTTACAGCCAGGCGTTGGTGGCTCACGCCTTTAATCCCAGCACTTGGGAGGCAGAGACAGGCGGATCTCTGTGAGTTCGAGACCAGCCTGGTCTACAGAGTGAGTTCTAGGACAGGTTCCAAAATAATACAGAGAAACCCTGTCTCGAAAAACCAAAACCAAACAAACAAACAAAAGTAGTTTTTACAAGAAACAAACGGCCACTAAGCATTTTATTGACTTTGTTCAGTGATATCTGCTAGTGGTCAACTAGACGCTGACCCAGGTACTGAAGCACCTAGAAAGTGCTTAGATTTTTGTTGGTCAGAAGCAGGTCTCAACGCACTTTGTTATTGCTGGTGATGTATCCTCCCTGTTTTAGCTTCTTGAGAATGTCTTTTCGTTTGAAGTATGCTTTTAAGTGTGGATCATGAAGACTTTGGTAGGTGGTTCCCATTAGTTTACAGTACGGATCACTAAGGTTAAATCCAAAAGAAGGTTGGTAAAGCTGCAAAAAGAAAAGAAACATATTTGAAATTATTGCAAATGCAAAAATTTATAAAATCATACCTTTAAACATCAGTTTATTGAAATTAGAATGTCCATTGAAGATGAAATTTACATGCAGAAACTGAAATGAAAGAATGTAATGCCTTTGAACTTCCCTCTCTTTTCCCAGGCTAATTTTTACATTAGAGGTGGCATGTGGAATATTATTTATGAACTCTGTGCTTGATATACCTATAGCCTCAACCTTACTCCATTTTCTGTATACATAGGTAGGATAGACTGTCAGCAAAGAGTAGAGCACACTAAGTTTCAGAAGCCAGATGATCCAAGGCACAGAAGCAGAAATCAGCATGTTGTATATGCATAAGCCAGAAAGGTCATAACCTGTCAAGTTGAGGTCATGGTTGGAAAGAAGTGATTGCAGCTATTTCTGGGGCTTTCTGTCATTAAAGTGAGTTTAAGGACTTTAAAACATTGCAGCTCATTTAATTCCATTTGTATAAGACTGAAGATGTTATACAAACTGCAATCATAACAAAATGTTACAAATTTAATGGCTAAAAAGGGTAAAGAAAACCACTTAAACACCATTAAAACTTAGTTTACCTTTTCACTTATATTTGTTGTGTAGAATATATTAGTAGTTCCTGGGATAATGGGCAGTTTGGCCCCAAGAGGCAAATCCAACAGACTAGATGGTCCAATCTTTGGAATGAGAGGTTTCTGTTTGTTCTGTGGGAAAGAAAATGGAAATGTTTGCCTTTTCTACTAAGAAGTGTTCATGTAGTTTACATCAGTTGTGTCACACTTCAACCAGATAGCACAACCCAGGTTGCTAGGCACTTAGGTGGAAGGAACTGCCTGGCTACAAACCAAGAAGACCCTACCTCTCCACTTCCTAAGCCACCACCCACCTTCTGGGTCCTGCCAAGCCTGGGGCACCTCGAGTCACTTGTTGCTCTGGTCAGAAGGTGGAAGGCACGGTAGTGGAACATTTTGTCCTGTTCCCACCCCTCAGCCCAGACTCTTTCCCCATGATTTTAGCTACTGGTCTGAAACCTGCTCAACCAAGAAAGAAGGGCAATGAACAAATGAACACTATTGAGGGACCACCACTCACGGTACTACACGTGTCTTTGTCCGTTTTTAGGCTTCTGGGAGCTGCTTTTGAGGCAGCAGCCTCGGCAGCCTTTAAACAGTTGCTTAGGTACAAGTCCATGGCTTCCCGTCAGCCCCCAAGGGCTGGGGGCTGAGGGAGTGGACTGTCTTCCCGACTGCCCTTCTGCAGCCGTCTCCTCCGGTGTCCTGAACAAGACTGAGCCAAAGCCCTAGACACCCAGGTAACAGAACCTCAAGGATGCACACATCACAATGCTTCTTCGCTGGCGTCTTCAGTGGGCGCCCTCAAGGCCACGCCCAATGGGCGTCGCCCTTAAGTCACGTCACACAAGCGGAGGTCACCCAATGGAAATTTCCACAATAGATGTGGCTCCAACAGAAGTAACTCTAACAGATGCTACTTCAACAGTTGTCGGTTTCTAAAGACATTGCCAAGAAAGATGTTGCTTCAACAGACACTACCCAAAAGACAACCCCTCCATGGACTGCTCCAATAGACATTGCTCCGGCTGATGTCGCTCCAGTGGACGTCATCTCAATAGATGTCGCATTAATAGACGTCATCTTTGGGTGGGGCAAAGACCTAATTGCCTCTCTAGGAGCGCATGCACATTTCTCAAGCTTAGCCACTTGAATGATTTGAGTTGGGAAAGTAGCCTGAAAGGCCCTTGCAGAGTACCACAGGTTGGGTTCCCTAGCTCTCTGAAATGAATGTCCCTCACCCAATGCACCAAAACTATTATTTCTTTTCAATGAGCATTCAGATTCATGAACAATTGTGCAATTTTTATTAGGGTCATATTTCTGACTTCCCTTGTCTATCCCCTTTATAATCACCACGATTTTCCTTTGCCCCAGGTTAAAACAGACATTTTAGACTAAGAGATATCTGGGACAATTTATTGAGCTGTTCTAGATGACAGCCAAGATGAAAGAACCAGTTGTGCTACAAATTCACAAACTGACCAGCAGCATGGCAAGACAGCAGTTTGAAAAATATCTATTGAAACCAAGGGGTTGGGGTGTTTAACAATATTAGGGCTTAAGATACATCAATTATTTATATTGAACTTACATCAACTACAGATAATAGGGTCAAAACAACAGAAAGCAGGTAGGGTTTTACTACGTAGCCTAGACTGGTCTGAAAATCATAGATTCTCCTCTGGCAGCCTCCTGAAGGACTGGATTGCAGATATACACCACAATGTCCAGCCCTAAAATGTTATTTGTTGTGTTTGTTAGAGACTTTGGCCACACCAGGCAAATTCTGGAACACTGAACTATGCTCTCAGAAAGAGACTTCTTCCTAATTCCAGATTGGTTTCAAATGCAGAAAGCAAAGCTGACTGATGGCACACATATATAACCCCAGTTCTTGAGAAACAAAGGCAGATTATTGGAAAATTGAATCCAGTCTGGGCCTCCCATAAGTAGATGACATTGGATTCCAGGAGTTCAGTTCAGTGTTTGGTAAGTTTGGATAAATGTTTGTCTATCTTGTTGATTTTCTCAAAGAACTAACTCTTTGATACATTGATTCTTTGTATTGTTTTCCTATTTTCTACTTTATTGATTTCAGCCCTCAGTTTGATTCTTTCCTGGCGTCTTCTCCTCCTGGGTGAGTTTGCGTCTTTGTGTTCTAGAGCTTTCAGTTGTGTTGTTAATTCTCGAGTGTAACTATTCTCCAGTTTATTCTTGTGGGCACTTAGTGCCATGAACTTCCCTTGTAGCACTGCTTTCAAAGTGTCCCATAAGTTTGTGTATGTTGTGTCTTCATTCTCGTTGAATTCTAGGAAGTCTTTAATTTCTTTTTTTATTTCTTCTTTGATCCAGGAATGGTACAGTTGTGCATTATTCAATTTCCATGAGTTTGTAGGGTTTCTGCAATTTGTGTTGTTGTTGACTTCTAATTTTAACGCATAGTGGTCTGGTAAGATACATGGAGTTATTCCAATTTTTTTGAAGCTGCTGAGGTTTGATATGTTTCCAAGTATGTGGTCGATTTTTGAGAAGGTTCCATGTGGCGCTGAGAAGAAGGTATATTCTTTTTTATTTGGATGGAATGTTCTATAGATGTCTGTTATTCCCAATTGGGTCATAACTTCCGTTAGTTCCTTTGCTTCTTTGTTAAGTTTCTGATTGGGTGGCCTGTCTAGTGGTAAGAGCGTGGTGTTCAAGTCTCCCACTATAAGTGTGTGGGGTTTTATATGTGCTTTTGAGTTTTAGTAGTGTCTCTTTTATGAACGTGGATGCCTTTGTATTTGGGGCATAGATGTTTAGAATTGACACTTCATCTTGGTGGATTTCTCCTGTGTTGAGTATGAAATTACTTCCTTCATCTCTTTTGATTGATTTTCTTTTAAAATCTATTTTTTTTAGATATTAGGATTGCTACCACCGCTTGTTTCTTGGGTCCATTTAATTGGAAAATTTTTTCCCAACACTTAACTCTGAGGTAATGTCTGTCTTTGAGGGTGAGGTGTATTTCTTGTATGCAGCAGAAGGATGGGTTCTGTCTTTGAATCCATTCAGTTAGCCTATGCCTTTTTATGGGCGAGTTAAGACCATTAATATTGAGGGATATTAATGACCATTGATTGCTCATTCTTGTTTGTTTTGGAATGGTTGTTGATGTTGTAATTATATGTAGATTTCCACCTCTTTTTTTCTTTTGGCTGTTGGTAAGGTGCCTATGTTTTTCTGGTTGTAGTTAACTTCCTTGGGTTGGAGTTTTCCTTACAGAACTTTCTGTAGGGCTTGGTTAGTGGATATGTATTGTTTGAATCTGGTTTTGTCATGGAATATCCTGTTTTCTCCATCTATAGTGATTGAGAGCTTTGCCGGGTATAGTAGTCTGGGCTGGCATCCGTGGTCTCTTCATGTTGGTAGAATATCTATCTAGGACCTTCTGGCTTTCAGAGTTTCCATAGAGTAATCAGGTGTAATTCAAATAGGTTTGCCTTTATATGTTACTTGACATTTTTCCTTAGCTGCTCTTAATATTCTTTCTTTATTCTGTATGTTTGTGGTCTTGATTATTATGTGGCGAGGGGACTTTTTTGTGGTCCACTCTATTTGGTATTCTGTAAGCTTCTTGTACCTTCATTTGCATGTCTTTTTTTGGTTGGGAAAATTTTCTTCTATGATTTTGTTGAATATGTTTCCTGCCTCTTTGAGTTGCTTTTCTTCACCTTCTTCTATACCTATTATTCTTAGGTTAATCTTTTCATGGTGTCCCATATTTCCTGGACATTTTTTGTTAGGGATTTGTTGGACTCAAGATTTTCTGTTGGGGAAGTCTTGTTATTTGCCTGTGCATTTGTCAATAAAGTACTGTCTGGCCACTAGAAAACCTAGATAGGAGGGACTAGGAGTCGAGGAGGATTCTGGGAAGGGAAAACACAAAAGAGTCGAGATGTAACCGCCATTGGGGTAGGAAGCTCGGAAACCTCTCCGGTAAGAGACATACTTAGATTAACAATTATGGGGTAAATACTTAAGTCAGAGCTAGCCTGTAAGAAAAAAGCAAGGCCAACAGCTTCATAATGAATATAGCCTCTTGTGTGTTTATTTGGGACTGATGCGGATCTGGAACCAGGCGGGCGAGAAGGCTCCTCTCAAGGAAAGCTTCTCTTAACAATTTTCTTTTGTTGATGAATCTGTTTCTCCTAGTGAATCTTCACCACCTTTGTCTCAAGCCTTTTTCTTGAGTTATAAGAAGCCTGGCTGGTTTTGTCTCTTTCTTTCTTTCAAAGGGGTCTCTGGGCGGTGGTGAAACACGCCTTTAATCCTAGTATTTGGGAGTCAGAGGCAAGCAGATCTCTGTGATTTCAAGGACAGTCTGGTCTACAAGAGCTACTTCCAGGGCAGCCTCCAAAGCTACACAGAGAAACACTGACTTAGAAAAAAAGGCAGGGTCTCTCTCCATTGCCCTAGCTGTCCTGGAACTCTCTGTGTAAAGCAGTATGGATTTCTTGGACTCAAGATTTTCTTTTGTTGATGAATCTATTTCTCATAGTGAATCTTCAATACCTGGGATTCTCTCTTCCATCTCTTGTATTCTGTTGATTATGCTTACATCTGTAGTACCTGACCGTTTTCCCAGCTTTTGTATTTCCAGCCTTTCTTCAGACTGTGTTTTTTGTCTCCATTTCAGTTTTCACCCCTTGCACTGTTTGAATTGTTTCTTGCAATTTTTGCTTTGTCTTTTTCTCCATTTGTTGCAGTTTTTGGTTTGTTTTTTCTTCCATTTCTTGGTTTGTTTTTTTCTTCCTTTTTTAAAGGGATTTTCCCATATCTTTTTGAGGTCCTGTATCATTTTCATGAAGTTGTTTTAAGGTCATTCTCTTCTGCTTCATTTGCCTTGAAATGTTTGAGTCTTGCTGGTGTAGAGTCTCTAGAATCTGGCAGTGTCATTTTTGTTTTTCTGTTGCTGAGTGTGTTTTTGTATTGTCTCCTTCTCATCCCTTCTATTGGGTGCAGGAAGATCCTCTTCCTGCCCTGGTGGTTAGAGGACCTGAGTTCCCTTTCAGTGGGTGCAAGCAAGTCCTATACTCTGGTAGTTCTCCTCTTCCTCGTCTTAGTCCTGATCTCATGGGTGTAGAAAAAGACCAGGAATCTGGGGTGCATAGGCTCCTGCCAGGAGGGGAGGCTCAATGCTACATATTACATTTTTGAATGATCTGCATTATCTAAACAAGAGTGTAAATATACACATAATAACATTGACCTTAAATTTGTATCAATAAACCAAAATCCATACCAATACAAAGTATTCATTTCTATACCAATGGCAAGACCCTTCCTCAAAAAAACCAACCAGCCAACCAACCAAAAAACATACAAACACAACAAAAGAAATAGTAATGTATGGTGAGAAGTAATATTTTCAGCACATGGTAGATGAACATGGAATAGTTTTCCATGCTTTGGCTTCTTGTTTAATTAACCTCTTGCCCTGGGTTGCTTTCTTTTTTGTTGTTTTTCTTTTTTCTTTTATTATTATTATTTTCATTTTAAATAACTTGTTTTACATGTCAATCCCAGTTCCCTCCCACTCCCCTCCTCCTGCAACCCCCCCCCGCACTATCCCCCCAGCCTCCTACCCTATCGCCATTTCTTTCCACATAGGGGATATCTAGAGTCTGTCATTTCACTCAGGGCAGGGTCCAGGCA